CCTTTTAGAAAGACATCTCATAAACAGCGTCATGTGCCTCCTCTACGTGAGGTCTAGAGGGTGGCAATACGAGAACGGGGCCTTTTTTGCAGTGGCTCCCCATTTGTGGCCACCTTCATTATACTAAACTGTTCCTCCAGGCCTTTGGCTGACTAACATAATAATAATAATAATACATTTTTATTTATACCCCGCCTTTCCCGGTTCAGAAACCGGGCTCAGGACGGCTAACAACAAATTTAAAACACTTAATTGATGCAAAAAAAACCAGCATAAAATACAGTATAAAATGTGAATAAGAATAAATTCAGAATTCAAAAATCAATTTAGGGACGAAATCCATCCAATAAACATTAGATGATCACCAGGGCTAGCTGGCTAAATTAGTCCTATTTGGGCCAGCGAGGAGACCAGGGGAGAATTAACTGTGGGATCCCAGAGTGGGTAATCTTCATAAAAAGGGGAGGGGGAAGGAAGGAAGGGGAATAAAAGATCAGGCTAAGTTCAGATTGAAAGCCAGGCGGAATAGCTCTGTTTTACAGGCCCTGCGGAAGGAAGTTAAATCCTGCAGGGCCCTGGTCTCATGGGGCAGAGCATTCCACCAGGTTGGAGCCATCACTGAGAAGGCCCTGGCCCTGGTGGAGGATAATCTGACTTCCTTAGGGCCTGGGACCTCTAAACTATTATTATTCATGGACCTTAAGGTCCTCTGAGGGGCACATCAGGAGAAGCGGTCCCGTACATACGAGGGCCCTAAGCCACAAAGGTCATGTTAACATGTTATACCCCTTATAAATGTGTGTTTTTTGGGGGGGTGGAGATGTGGGAAGGGAGGTTTATTGGTTTGTTTTGTTCTTGTTTAACTATGTATTTTATCTGGTGTTTTTATCTTGTATTTTTATGCTGTGAACCGCCCTGAGATCTACAGATAAAAAGGCGGTTTGGAATTGCCCAAGAAAAATGTTAAATTATTTTTGTATTCCACAACTGCTGCTCGTATTTTGTTAGCTAAAAAGTGGAAAACCCAAGAATTACCAAAGATAGAAGAATGGCAGATGAAGATGAGGGATTTTTCGGAGCTAGCCGACCTAACCGGAAGAGTCCGCGACCAGAAGGAGGAGGAGTATCAGGAAGAGTGGATTAAATTTAATGATTACTTAGTTAAATATGTTAAGTTAAATTAACTGAAAACAGCTTGCAGATACTTAATTGGCTTAGGATTTTATTTCTGTTAAGTGATGAAATATTATGTTTAATTTCATAATGTGAAGATCTAAGGATGTTAATGTTTAAGTTTAATTTTATAAGAACTGTGATTTGGAAAACCGTTAAAATGATATGCAATGAAATCTAACGAAGGGGAAGCGAGGAAGTCACAATGTTAATACGTGTAATTTTCAATAAGGCTATGATTTATGTTTGTTTGTCTTATGTGTTTGTTTGTTTATAATGTTGTGAAAACTAATTTAAAAAATTTGACAAATAAAATAAAAACAAAACAGCAGTTCTTAACCCCTCAGCACAACTGAGTCATGATGTTAAAACATTGTGGATCACTTGACGCTTCCCAGAGGTTACGTCCAGACATAACTTCCTTTCCCTGAAGACTCATGAAATAGACTCAAGTGTTTTCCAGAAACTCTGTTGCTGTTGTGGTGGGGAGTTTTAGTTGCTGAGGTTAAGTAGCTACTTACTTAAGCGTATATGATGTTTTGTTTTGGGGGGTGTGTGTGTGTGTGTGTGTGTGTTATAAATGTTGTTGTTCCAAGAGTTAATTCCTGCCCTTCTTGCCAAGCCAAGAGGCTGAGACAGAAGTCAGATGCGAGTGCCTAACAACTGTAGTTCCTTAACCACACTCACATTGGAACCCACAGGCAAATTTTGCTTCCTTCCATACCCCAGAACCAGAATTTATCCAATGTTGGGCAGACCGTGAAAAGCCAAGCCATTAAAGTTTTTCAGATCTCCAAAGTAAGGTAAAGGAAAAGGGACTCCCTAAAACGTGACGTCAGGTCAACAACCTTGACCTGAAACAGATTTTAATCGTGTGAGTAGATCGCAGTCCCCTGGAAGTTGGACGTCCCTGGAATATACTATTGTCATTTATGCTAGGTAAAGGTAAAGGGACCCCTGACCATTAGGTCCAGTCGTGGCTGACTCTGGGGTTGCGGCGCTCATCTCGCTTTATTGGCCGAGGGAGCCAGCATACAGCTTCCGGGTCATGTGGCCAGCATGACTAAGCCGCTTCTGGCGAACCAAAGCAGCGCATGGAAACGCCGTTTACCTTCCTGCCGGAGCGGCACCTATTTATCTACTTGGACTTTGACGTGCTTTCGAACTGCTAGGTGGGCAGGAGCAGGGACCGAGCAACGGGAGCTCACCCTGTCACGGGGATTCAAACCGCCGACCTTCTGATCAGCAAGTCCTAGGCTCTGTGGTTTAACCCACAGTGCCGTAAAGGTAAAGGTAAAGGTACCCCTGCCCATACGGGCCAGTCTTGACAGACTCTAGGGTTGTGCGCCCATCTCACTTACGAGGCCAGGGGCCAGCGCTGACCGGAGACACTTCCGGGTCACGTGGCCAGCGTGACGAAGCTGCTCTGGTGAACCGGCACCAGAGCAGCACACGGAACGCCGTTTACCTTCCCGCTATAAAGCGGTACCTATTTATCTACTTGCACTTAAGGGTGCTTTCGAACTTCTAGGTGGGCAGGAGCTGGGACCGAACGATGGGAGCTCACCCCGCCGCAGGGATTCGAACCGCCGACCATACGATCGGCAAGTCCTAGGCGCTGAGGTTTTACCCACAGCGCCACCCGCGTCCCGCACAGCGCCGTACTATATCCTAAAAAACACCACGCCTACTCGTAAGCGCTCTGATTCATTGAAACGGGTTCCTTAATTCTGCTCTAGGAAATATGGTTAGGACAGCAGCTTATGGGAAGGGTGAACTCAAACAGACTCAAATTTGGCCATTTGTCGTCTGCATCTTGCTGTAAACAGCAGAAGGGACCGCTGGCCTTCGTCCTTAAGGCTGCTCCTGACGGCAGTCCTTCCCCCGCCCTCCATAGAAGTGAATGGAGTGTAGGGGAGAGCCTTTCCCACCAATTCATTGCTATGGAATGAAAAGAAAGAGACTGCATTATTATGGAGTCCCTGAAACCAGAGGTGTGGGGCAGGGAGGAGGGGGTACTGCTGTACCAAACCCAAAGCCAACAAAGGAAATCAGACTCTGAGCTCCACCCATCTTTAAAAAAAGTAAGTTTCTAGTCCCTGTGAATTAAAACTATAATGCAAATCTGAATCCTCTTTTTGTGAGAGGTGAAGGGAACCCAATCCACATACAGTGTCCTGGGCCCGGAAAATCTTCCTGGCACCTTTTCCTCGAATTCAACTACCCTAGCCTGTACTGCTTGCTTCAGATTAATTAAAGCTGTGTGCTATACACACTAACTGGGGAGTAAATTCCTGGGATTTCTTTCTGAGATAAAAGTGCTTACGTTTGCATTGCAGATCACACTGGAGTTCATGAGACTTCAGCTCCACCCTTTAATATGATGTCAACTTTCTTTTCTGAATTTTTTTCGGGGGGGGGGGGCGAGTTTAACAGAACTTCTTTAAATATTGAACTTTAGTGCATCTTAAAAGGTGTGTTATGAGAAGGGTAATGTCCCGGCCATAAAAAATGTGATTAAAAAAAGAATTTCCGTTGAAGTTGCACAATTTAGAGCATTTGGATTTAAATCTGTCCTGAAGCGACTAAACCGAACAAATGCCTGTGTATGCATTTAGGAGCAGCTGCTGTGGCGTGTGAATAACATTTTTGCGCAAGTAAAACGCTCAGAAAACAAGTGCTAAGTATTCCCACTGACTTTCATGGCTACTCAAGAGTAGGCAGTAAAGCTGTGTGCTATACACTGGCCTCTCCCTTAGATGGACATAGGTACAGGTAAAGGGACCCCTGACCATTAGGTCCAGTCGTGACTGACTCTGGGGTTGCGGCGCTCATCTCCTTTATTGGCCGAGGGAGCCGGCGTACAGCTTCCGGGTCATGTGGCCAGCATGACTAAGCCGCTTCTGGCGAACGAGAGCAGTGCACAGAAATGCCGTTTACCTTCCCGCTGCAGTGGTACCTATTTATCTACTTGCACTTTGACGTGCTTTTGAACTGCTAGGTTGGCAGGAGCAGGGACCGAGCAACGGGAGCTCACCCCATCGTGGGGATTCGAACAGCCGACCTTCTGATCGGCAAGTCCTAGGCTCTGTGGTTTAACCCACAGCGCTACCCACGTCCCTAGATTGACATACACTGCCCTCGAAATAATTACCGTACTTGGACAGTTACAAGGAGACATATCTGCTATGCAACTAAACCCCTTCAAATCTGTATACTCTGCAGAATTCTTGATAATTATCCTTTCTCCCTTTAAAAATCAAAGGGTGTACAATTATTATGTTTAACATCCTGGTCTTTAAAGCGCTTACATATAAAATAAGTCACATTCCTTTCACTAGGAGGGTTTAAATAAGACTCGTGGAATCGGGACGCAGTTTCAGACCACCTGGAGTCTGGGTTCCTATCTTACCTACTGGGTACTGAGGACGTTTGAAGAGGGACGCAGCAGTGGTGTTTTCGGGAAAATTCATTTCTGGGAAAGAAACGGGACAACATCAGGAACGTTGCACATCTGATGTGACCTCATCCGGTCTGATCTCGTCCTGGGCTCTCTTTGAACGCCACCGCCCCGCCCCCCGCGCCGTCCATTCAAGCCTCAGAGAAAGTTTCTTTCAACTTTTCCGCAAAGGAATCCCACCGCCCGAGAGCCGCCCACATTCCTCCCCGCCCCTGAGAGCCCTTTTATCTTCCCAGCCAATCGTAAGCAGAGCTGCGGAGACAACAGACCGCGCCATTGGCAGGGGCTGGGATGGCGTGGCCCCGCCCACCGCTCGGTTTGTGAATGGGGAAGGGGCGGCGTTCCATGGAACGCTCGGGCATAAATGCGTCCTTTCCCTTTTCTGCCGCTCCCCCGCCTCCTCCTCATTTTGTAAGGCGCGTTCCATCGGCCGCTCCAGCCGCCGGAGAGACGGCTTGCATCTGCCAAGCGCGGGGGCGCCGGCGGGATCTGTTCGGCTGCCTCTTAAACCCGGGTGTCGAGAGCGTGCGAAGAAGCAGCCGAGTTAGCGCGGAGCGGAGGAACCACGCAGTAATTGGATTTTTTAAAAATTACTGAAAAGCCCTTGGAGTAAAATGCGCGGATCAAGCGGGAGAAGCAATCGTAATCCGTTTAACTCTGAAGCCTAAAATCCCAGGCATTTTTTATTTTTTTAAAAGGAACGGAGAGCAAGCGAAATTGCCACGGAGGGACTTTCTCAAGGACTTGTTCTTCCACACCCGACGCCTCCAATGAAACTTTTTTATATATAAAAAGGAAGAAAACCCCTATGGACTGATTTCGCGCGGCGGGGAAAAAAGACTCCAGCCCTTGCGATTTCGTTGGGAACCAGGTACTTTTGGGACAAACCGAGGCGTGTGTTTTGAGTGTTGGAAAGACCCGTTCCGGAGGCGAGGCAAACGCGGAGAGGCTTCCCGGTCCTGGCTGCTCCGCAGACGGATCCCTGCACAGCCCTTTGGCGAGCGATCAACGGGAAAGCCGGCTGAGCGAGCGATCCGCCCCTCCCGCCTCCCCCACCCGAGAGCAGGCGGCTGCAAGAGCGAGCCGAGCCAGCCCCGCCGCCGCCTGACCCCTTTTGCAGCTCGCCCCGTTGGGGGAAAGTCGCGGAGGTCCGGCGGCTCTTGCCTTGGGAGCCCCGAGGCGCCAGACTGCGCAGACCTCCCTGGTGCTCCGCGCTTCTCTCCCGGGTGCGCGCGTGTTCGGCTGCCCGCCGCTGCGCCGGATCATGGGCCGGGGAGCGGCGTCGTGCGGGAGGCGGGCGGCGCCCCTTCCTCGTCCTGCCGCGGGCCTGTGGGCCTTGGCTTGGTGCGCCCTGGTCTGGGGCTTCCCTCGGGGCGCCGGCGCGCAGCCTTACCAGGGCGAGAAGGGCATCTCGGTGCCGGACCACGGCTTCTGCCAGCCCATCTCCATCCCTCTGTGCACGGACATCGCCTACAACCAGACCATCTTGCCCAACCTGCTGGGCCACACGAGCCAGGAGGACGCGGGCCTGGAGGTGCATCAGTTCTACCCGCTGGTGAAAGTGCAGTGCTCGCCCGAGCTGCGCTTCTTCCTGTGCTCCATGTACGCGCCCGTCTGCACCGTCCTGGAGCGCGCCATCCCGCCGTGCCGCTCGCTCTGCGAGAGGGCGCGCCAGGGCTGCGAGGCCCTCATGAACAAGTTCGGCTTCCAGTGGCCCGAGCGCCTCCGCTGCGAGAACTTCCCCGTCCAGGGCGCCGACGAGATCTGCGTGGGCCAAAACACCTCGGACACCTCCGGGGGCGCGGGGGGGACGGGCGGCGGCGCCTACCCCCCCGCCGCCGCCTCCTCCCCCACTCCCCCTCTGCCCGACCCCCCGTCGCACCCTCTGCCCCCCTCCAGCTCCGCCTTCTCCTGCCCCCGCCAGCTCAAGGTGCCCCCTTACCTGGGCTACCGCTTCCTGGGGGAGAGGGACTGTGGCGCCCCCTGTGAGCCGGGCTTGCCCCACGGGCTGATGTACTTCAAAGAGGCGGAAGTCCGTTTTGCCCGCCTGCTGGTGGGCATCTGGTCCGTGCTGTGTTGCGCCTCCACCCTCTTCACCGTGCTGACCTACCTGGTGGACATGCGGCGCTTCAGCTACCCGGAGAGACCCATCATCTTCCTCTCGGGGTGTTACTTCATGGTGGCCGTGGCGTACGTGGCCGGCTTCGTCCTGGAAGACAAGGTGGTGTGCGTGGAACGCTTCTCCGAGGACGGCTACCGCACGGTGGTGCAAGGCACCAAGAAGGAGGGCTGCACCATTCTCTTCATGATCCTCTACTTCTTCGGCATGGCCAGTTCCATCTGGTGGGTCATCCTCTCGCTCACCTGGTTCCTGGCGGCCGGCATGAAGTGGGGCCACGAAGCCATTGAGGCCAACTCCCAATACTTCCACTTGGCCGCCTGGGCTGTGCCGGCCATCAAGACCATCACCATCCTGGCCATGGGGCAGGTGGACGGAGATGTTCTCAGTGGGGTCTGCTACGTGGGCATCTACAGCGTGGACGCCCTGCGGGGCTTCGTCCTGGCTCCGCTCTTCGTCTACCTCTTCATCGGCACCTCCTTCCTGCTGGCCGGCTTTGTGTCGCTCTTCCGGATCAGGACCATCATGAAGCACGATGGCACCAAGACGGAGAAGCTGGAGAAGCTGATGGTGAGGATCGGGGTCTTCAGCGTCCTCTACACGGTGCCGGCCACCATTGTGCTGGCCTGCTACTTCTACGAACAGGCCTTCCGGGACACCTGGGAAAGGACCTGGCAACTGCAGACCTGCAACAGCTACGCCATCCCTTGCCCTGCCAACGTGGCCCCCATGAGCCCCGACTTCACGGTCTTTGTCATCAAGTACCTCATGACCATGGTTGTAGGCATCACCACCGGCTTCTGGATTTGGACGGGCAAGACCCTCCAGTCCTGGCGCCGCTTCTACCACAGACTCAGCACCGGGAGCAAAGGGGAGACGGCTGTATGAGCTTCTTCCGTCCCAGGCAGGCTGTCTCCCCAAAGCTGCTCTCTTGCTTCTTGTGGAGAAGACTTGGTTGTAGAAGGAAAGAGGGAACTGGTGAGACGCCTGCTGTTTTCCTTCAAACTCTGCCTCTTCTTCTTGCCACCGAAAAGATAAAGATGGTTGCTTGCTTGTTTCCCCTTGCAGGCTGGCCAAGTTGAAGAGTTGAAGATTAAGTGCCCTTCTTAAGACTGCTCCTCAGGACAGTAAATTTCTTAACCCTGTGATAATTTCTTTACTTCCCATCCTGGTTTTTTTTTTAAAAAAAGTGCTGCAGTATCTGTTCAAAGGGAAATATTGGGATTGTGCCAGGGATAGAAGCTGGGGAGACAGCATAGGAAAGGGAAGAAAAGCAATATATCCCCCCCCCAAAAAAACAACAAATTGGTCACATTTGTGGATTTATGTGCTAACTCCCCCACCTCAAATCCAGAGTTCCTGATTCACAGCCTTTGTCAACTGCATCCTGGCGGATTTTATTTTTCTCAGACAACACTGCAAATTGGAAGTCTTGCTCCCTGTACTTCTGTTTTGTGTGTCTTCTGTCTGCAAACTTCTTTAGGAATCTTCAGTTCCATCCTCTGCATGACTTACTCAGAAAACCATCCATTTAATTTCAAGGCTCTTACTCCTAAGTAAGTATGTGCATAGGATTTTAGCGTCCTCTATAGACTTACTTGTGAGTAAGACCCCACTGGGTCTTCCGCCTGAGTAGACCCGTTTAGGATTTCCCTGTTAAGTTTCACTGAGCTCTATGAAACTTCTCTCCTGAGTTAATGCATGTTAAATTGGCTCTGCAGAAAACGTTTTCTCTTCTACTTCAGCTTTAAAAGTTTTTCCCCCCCAAATGAATCCCTGCTTTGGCAGAAGGTATCTTGCTGGGGTGGGGGAGGAGAGGAGCTTTCTGTGTAGGATTCTGAAAAAAGAATTGACATGTTGATTTTCAGTAGAATGCGATTTACCCTCTTCCCTTTTGTTAGCGGAGACAAAAGAGAAACAAAAGTGTATTTCTCTGCAGCAAGGCATAAGCATGGGATCAGTTTTTTATGGGGAAACTTAACAAAGAATTTGTTGAGGTTCAGCCATGGAGCTCGCTGGCTCAGTCAGGTCCACATTCCTTTTATGAACACAAGAGGGAAGTTTCAGAAAGGTCTCCTGTTTAACTCAATCTGAGACTCACTCACTGTTGTTTGTTTGTTTTTTTAAAAAAGGGAGTTTTAATTTGGAACACTTGACAAAACAGGCCACATCAAAATACGCAAAGCAGGCGGTTATAATATCTCTTGGTCACAAGGCTGCAGTTTCCTCTGCTAATTACAGAGATCACCCTTAAATACTGAAAAAGGGGGAAAGACTTTGAAACCGACAACTGCAGCAGAAAGATATTTATCAGCCCAGACCTAAATCCCGTTCTCTGTTCACGTGGTTTTAAAAGCCCGTTGAAATCCGTGTTATAGTTTCTTTTTTAAAAATCTAATTCTGTGCCGGGTTGTGGCCATTATTATGGAGAAATAGATTTTATCGGAAACGAGACTTTCAGTGCACTCCTGTCCATTTTTACGCTGGTATAAGTTCTGCTGGGTTCGCTGGGGCTTATTCTGTGGTGAATGTGTTAATTTTGTGTGCTTGACCACCATCCAGCAAAAAGTTGTCGTAAGGCCACAAACCTGTGCACACATAACCAGGAAAAAAAAGTTCCACACATTGGTGCTTACTTAGGATCCGAGTGGCCTGTAATTAATCATCTCTAACTTGAGTCCCATTGATGGGGAATTATGACATGTCCCAAACAGCTAATTTTTTGGGTTGTGCTGAAGCTGTTAAATGAATGGTAAACTGCAACTGCTGGTTTCTCTTCTTCCTAAACTGGGCAGTTCTTTAAAAAAAAAAAAAGCATAATAAATACATGTTCAGAGTCTGCCTTGCTGTATTCTGTGAGTAAGGAATACTTCTGAGTAGACCAGTATAGGGTGGTGCTGTCTCTTTCCTTGAACCTTGTTAAATAGAAAGTCTTCTGAAATAAGAAGGGAAAGGGTGTTTTCAGCACAGCATCATCATATGTGAAATTCTCCAGACAGCCATTCATCGAAATAAATTAAGTTTTACTTCAGAAGCATTTCATGTTCCTTTCTGAAATGTTCCAGTGCTCTCAAGTCTCTTAAATTATGTTAAATTGACCTTTTCATATATAGATAAATTAGGGGGTTTTCTTTCTTTTTTTAAGCTTTCTGCGAACCTAAGGGGTTTGAATTTATTTTTGCTTGAAAGACTAATTGGAGAACTGCAGGCTTTTTTAACAAGCTCTGCTTCCATTTCCCCTTCCTATGGCTGTAATAACTTTCTTCTTTATATGTATGAACGGAAATCCAAGTTTTTAAATAAATAGAAAGTAGTGGAAAGGGAAAGTCATCTGGGTGTGAGTGTGTGCAGGGCGTAATGTTTGAGAATGAGGCAGCAAAAGAGAAAAAACCCCACCCCAGTAATTTTGCAGTATGTTTTGTCTCCCTGGTTCAGAGATCCTGGTTTGTTTGTTTTTTAAGACAATAAGACCAGCTAAAAGTACAAGATGTATATTTTGTAAATCTGACATTTTGTAAGAATATATATATGTATTTATGTTTTTATTTACTTTTTTGTCTTCAAATGGTCTGTGTAAGACCCATTCATATGTACAGAACACAAAAATAAATGGATTTTTAATACAATATAACTTTTTTTTTTACAGTTCTATCTTAATTCTTATATTCTCTTCCCTTCCTCATCTTTTTATTATTGGGTGTCTTAAATGCTTAATGGATGTGGCTTCAAACTATGCATCATTCTTGCTAAGCATCATTCTTGCAGTGCAGTGTTGTGGCAATTGTCCCATCAGCTCAAGCTTTTTGGCTTGCAGGATAATATTATTCCCTCTCTCCTCTCCCCGGATGCTGTTCTGGGGGTTCTAAACTCTACCAGAGCCAATTTTGGGTGGCTTGCAAGGAAATAGGGGAAACCTCTTGCATTCGCAAAAGCCCTTGTGTGGTTTATGCTATTTGTATTTATTTAAAAATTATGATTGGGTCAGGCTGCACAATCCTGGATATTCTGGCCTGAGACTAAACTCAAATTATTTTGAAGAGGGCCAGCTTCCAATAGGTTAGAGCTAGCAGTCCTAGACTGCTTATTGGTAATCTTATCTCTCTGAAGTCATAGAGGAATTCCTATCAAATAAGCATGCTGAGGACTTTGTGGTCATCTTTCAATTGATGTATTTAGTAGTGGAATGGGCATCTTATGCCCCTCTGGGTGGTTTGGACTCCAGTTCCCATCAGCCCCAGGCAGCATGGCAGCAGCAATAATAATAATAATGATGATAATAATAATAATAATTTATACCCCAGCCACTCTGGGCAGCTCCCAGCAAAATACAGTTGTACCTTGGATCTCGAACGCCTTGCGAGTCAAACGTTTTTGCCACAAACCCGGAAGTGAGTGTTCCAGTTTGTGAATGTTCTTTGGAACCCGAACGTCCAGCGCAGCTTCCGATTGGCTGCAGGATCTTCCTGCAGCCAATCGGAAGCCACGCCTTGGTTCCTGGACGTTTTGGAAGTCGGACAGCCTTCCGGAACAGATTCCGTTTGCCTTCCGAGGTACGACTGTTAAAAAAACAATAAAACCTCAAATGTTAAAAACTTCCCTAAACAGTGGCCACAAATTATGGAAGTTGTAGTGCAGCAACATTTTGGAAAGCCACAGTTTCACATTTCAAGCCCACCTTTGCTGTAGAGAGCAGTTTAGCTTGGTAGAGCATGGGACTCTTAAATTTTGGAGTTGTGGGTTCAAGTGTCACATTGGGCAAAAGATTCCTGTATTGCAGGGGATTGAACTAGATTACCCTCTGGGTCCCGTCCAACTCTAAATTCTATGAAAGCAACTCCATGAAGCAGGTAATGTTGAGAGTGACCAGCCCAGGGCATCGTGGCTGAATGGGGACTTCTTTCCGTCCCAGCTGAGGGCACAAAATGCTTTGTAGAAACAAACTTCATTCCTTTTTAAAACCAGTGGTTTTCCCAACAGTATTGTTGTCGTTTAGTCGTGTCCAACTCTTCGTGACACCATGGACCAGAGCACGCCAGGCCCTCCTGTCTTCCACTGCCTCCCACAGTTTGCTCAGACTCATGTTTGTAGCTTCGAGAACACTGTCCAACCATCTCGTCCTCTGTCATCCCCTTCTCCTTGTGCTCTCCATCTTTCCCAACATCAGGGTCTTTTCCAGGGAGTCTTCTGTTCTCATGAGGTGGCCAAAGTATTGGAGCCTCAGCTTCAGGATCTGTCCTTCCAGTGAGCACTCAGGGCTGATTTCCTTCAGAATGGAGAGGTTTGATCTTCTTGCAGTCCATAGGACTCTCAAGAGTCTCCTTCAGCACCATAATTCAAAAGCATCAATTCTTCGGCGATCAGCCTTCTTTATGGTCCAGCTCTCACTTCCATACATCACTACTGGGAAAACCATGGCTTTAACTATACGGCCCTTTGTTGGTAAGGTGATGTCTCTGCTTTTTAAGATGCTGTCTAGGTTTGTCATTGCTTTTCTCCCAAAGAGCAGGCGTCTTTTAATTTCGTGACTGCTGTCACCATCTGCAGTGATCATGGAGCCCAAGAAAGTAAAATCTCTCACTGCCCAACAGTATACCTTCAGTTAATCCTTTCCGTATTGATTTGCAGAATTTATATGCTTTCGTGTAACATACACGTCTCCAGGTGGCTTAACAGTAAGAAAACAATTTAAGTTCAAAATAAGATTCAAAACGAAAGCAACTTAACTGTAACAAAAGCAAAACTCGGTTGCACCCAAACAAAAACACATTTAAAGACTATAACCATATTGTCTGCCATTGGAAACCTGCAAGTTGCAAAGCATTCTGGGACTCGCTGTTTGTGACATGCTCAGCCATTGGGCAATACTGTCACAATCTGACACTTAGGGCTAAATCAAGCACACAGAGCCTAGGACTTGCCAATCAGAAGGTCGGCAGTTCGAATCCCCACGACGGTGAGCTCCCGTTGCTCGGTCCCTGCTCCTGCCCACCTAGAAGTTCGAAAGCACGTCAAAGTGCAAGTAGATAAATAGGTACCGCTCCGGCAGGAAGGTAAACGGCGTTTCCGTGCGCTGCTCTGGTTCGCCAGAAGCGGCTTAGTCATGCTGGCCACATGACCCGGAAGCTGTACGCCGGCTCCCTCGGCCAATAAAGCGAGATGAGCGCTGCAACCCCAGAGTCAGTCACGACTGGACCTAATGGTCAGGGTCCCTTTGCCTTTACCCTTTATAATGTGCTAGGAACCAACACAGACCTAGGCTCAAAACCCCATTCAGGCCTGAACTGATCAATTCTTAGCCTATAACCTACCTCACAGGATTGTTGTGGATCATACAAGGGATGGGAGAACAATCATGTATGCTGCCTTGAGTTTACCGAAGAAAATCTGGGGTATGAAAGGAAAGCCAACACTTCTCTACAGATTAGATGGTGGTCAAGTCTTTCAGTTACCCATCACTGGAGAGTTACTTGTAAATGAAGTAATTCTCTACAAAAAAAGAGGATATTGCTGTCTGAACATTTGTTCCTTCTTTGCTCAATGCACGATCAATTTTTTCCTTTTCCTGTAAAGGCAGTAAAAACTTGACCACTTCCTAAATTTTGTCCCAGGTATGTTGGCGTATAGAGAGAGGAGCTTTCTCAATAGTGAAAACGGGGGTGGAGAGTGGGAACAAGCAATTGTCACGTTTGACAGTATTTGGTTCAGAAAGGTCTTTTCCCCCCAAGCCATTGTGTCTGTTTTTCTCTAGGTTTGCTTCAGTTCTATTAGGCAGAAGAACCTGAAGCATGAATTCGCACTGAGAGCAATGGGGCATCATCACTCGGGTATCCTATAGGCTGCAGATAAGTGACTAGGACTGCAAACAGTGGGATTTACTCCCAAGTAGGTATGGGGGATGTGGGTGGTGCTGTGGGTTAAACCACAGAGCCTAGGACTTGCTGATCAGAAGGTTGGCGGTTCGAATCCCCACGACAGGGTGAGCTCCCGTTGCTCGGTCCCTGCTCCTGCCCACCTAGCAGTTTGAAAGCACACCAGTGCAAGTAGATAAATAGGTACCACTCCGGCGGGAAGCTCAACGGCGTTTCCGTGTGCTGCTCTGGTTCGCCAGAAGCGGCTTAGTCATGCTGGCCACATGAGCCGGAAGCTGTACGCCGGCTCCCTCGGCCAATAAAGCGAAATGAGCGCCGCAACCCCAGAGTCGGTCACGACTGGACCTAATGGTCAGAGGTCCCTTTACCCTTTAGGTATGTAAAGGGTTATGCTGTTAATCCCAATGAACTCATTTTATCACCTTTATCCAAGCTGACATTTCAAATCACTATTTTGCTTCATAATAAGAGGACCTGTGCTTAACTTCCTATAAAAACATTGCTCCCAGAATTCTTGACATCAAATGCCATTTTGCTGCGATAAAACATTTCATTAGGACTCCAGACAGTTTTAGACACTCGGCCACTTTTCACAAGGCAAGGATAAGTTTTATTGCTCAGTATATTTCAAAAATGTATGTTTCAGATCAGCTCCAGAATTTATCTTAGAAACTTGACGTTCAGCTGCTGTTGCCGATTGGTCATTCCAGTGCATATCTTTATAAGCAGGGGAACAGTAATATTAAATACTGGCAGTGAATCCAACTAGATAAATGACATTTTCCAGCCTTCTCCTTCCCTAAGGTATCTGTCTCGCTATCTCACATTCATATTAGGGGTGTGTGTACCAGCCGCAAGATTCGACTTGTATCTGTAACTTTGGGAAGCAGCCCGATCTGTTTCAGAGCTGCTTTGTGTCTTTCCAAATCGCCTCCACGTTCAAGACGGAATTATCTCTGTTAAAAGCAACGCTCTGTTTCACCACCAGCACCCCATTCACTATAATGGGGAATCGAACCTTTTTGCTTTTCATCGAAGTGAAGGTTGCAGGACTCCCACTATTCCCAGTCAACATTGTCACTGGTCAAGGATGCAAGGAGTTGGTCATCCAGCATCACCTGACAGGCACCACATTGGTTACCCCTAGTGTAGAGTGTGTTAGGTTGTGTTTTTGGGGGGGTTTTAAAGGTGGGAATATTTGTGCGTTTATTTAGATCTGCACCCCACCTTCCAACCGCGTTATCAGGACAGCTTCCAATGAACATTTTAAAAACACTTTCATATCCCTAATACGTTGAGCTACAGTCAGGAACTCCATGAAAGCAGCATCCAAATAAAGCAGATGAACAAAAGTTCAAAAGTCCGCACAAATAAAAAGGTCTTTGCTGGTGCCACACAAGCAGTGGAGGGCCTTCTTGGCGGTGGCACCCTCCCCCTGGAACATCCTCCCATCAGATGTCAAGGAGATAAAGAACTACACAACTTTTAGAAGTCATCTGAAGGCAGCCCTGTATCAGGAAGTTTTAATGTTTGACATTTTATTATTTTTTATGTTCTGCTAGAAGCCGCCCAGAGCAGATGGGTGGGGTGGTATTATTATTAATTATTATTATTATTATTATTATTATGTCTCTAGGACTGCTCCAAAGCCATGAGGCCATCACTGTGATGGCCCTTTTCACCAGTAACCAACCACAGCACATTTGTGGCAGAGAAACTGGCAGGAGGGTAATGCCATGAGCTTTTTCTGTTTCG